CAAACCCACAAGACCCAGCCAGGCCCTCAGGGCAGAGGCTCTTTTCAGCCTGAGTCCTGTGAGTAGGCTATATCGTATACACCAAGCCCACCTGGATCAAACCTTGAAGACCTCCTTTTTCCCTGGAGCAGGGCTTGAGATGCAGTCAGGGCTGATTCCCAGAATAAACACCCCGCCCATAGACAGCCCCAGCCCTGCAGGCTCAACAAGCCACCACCAACCAACAGAGAGAGCTCCCAAGGCCGCCAGCTCAAGGTTAATAAGTCATCCTGACCTCACTCCCTCCATCACTCTTCCTGTGCCTGGGCCCTGCTCGCTGTGGGTTGCAGGTTCATTCATAACAATAATAGCTATCATTTGTTTTCCTCTATCTCCCTGCCAGATGATGGTGAAGCCTTTTTTTTTTATTTTTAATTTTTATTTTTTGGGGGGTACCAGGGAATGAACTCAGGGACACTTGGCCACTGAGCCATATCCCCAGTCCTATTTTGTATTTTATATAGAGACAGTGTCTCATTGAGTTGCTTAGCGCCTCACCATTGCTGAGGCTGGTTTTGAACTCAAAATCCACTGGTCTCAGCCTCCGGAGCCGCTGGGATTACAGGCATGCTCCATTGCATCTGGCTTGGTGGAAGTTTTTTCAACGAATTCTGCACCGAGCCTCACACAGCCCTGTGGTAGGCTCCCTGAAGATTGATACTTCAGGGCTGCGGTTGTAGCTCAGTGGTAGAGCACTTGCCTAGCACGTGCGAGGCCCTCGGTTTGATCCTCAGCCCAATGAAAGGAAAAGTAAATAAATAAATAAAGACATGTGTCCAACTACACCTTTAAAAAAAAAATAATTGATATTTCACAGCTAGGGAAACTGAGGCTCAGAAAGGTCAGAGAGCTTGGCCAAGGTCAAGAGTTGGAACATGAGACCTGCTACCATTTATCCATCCTGGTTCCTTTGTCTGTGTCTGCATCATGGGTCTTAAGGCTCACTTCACTGTTGCCTTGTGTCTTTCATGCTCAGCTCAGGCTCTGAAAAGATAGGAACTGTCCCTACACCTCTGATTTCCTGTTGGACCTAGCACTGTGTTACTTAAGAGCCATTTACTAAGCTCCTACTTTTTTTTTTTTTTTTTTTGGGAGGTGCTGGGAATTGAACCCAGGGCCTTGTGCAGGCTAGGCGTGCACTCTACCAACTGTAAACTCCTACCCTGTACAGGACACTTTCCTTTCATTGGGCAGGTACATGTGTGTGACGAGTGAGTAGCATTTCCTCTGGGTCCTGACAGGTAAGGGGTCACCACTAGATCTCCTCAAAGGTATGGGTGGGGTGCCTAGCCCAGTGCACAGTATGCCTTCAGTAAATGTTGAAAAAGTTTAGGGCACCAAATTTAGCCACCAAATATACCTTTCAGTGATATTTAGGAAGCTTTTCTACGTGCCAGGTCCTGTGCAGGACTCTGCAGGGGGAGTGACAGGGCAATGTCCCTAAGTCTTTTTCCTTGGGGAACTCTCAGTCTAAAAGGGTAAACCATCCTCCTGCCAAGCAGCCATGTTCTGAGCACACAGGAAGGATGAATGCTCACAGCAAGGACCCCTGGAGAGAGAAAGCCCTGGGAGACAGCAGGAAGGGTGGGCATTCCTCCTTGCCCACCTTTCACTAAGCAGGCAGAGAACTCTGAGAAAACAGTTCAGAGGCCAGCCCTCTTGGGTGTCCCCCACCTTGCCAGTTATCTGATGCCCAGGGAGTCAATGGGTCTGAGAATGCACTTTGGAATCAGACATTAGGCCCACTGAGATTATAATCTGCACCATGCCTCCTAATGGTGTATAAAACCATGGCTACCTTAATTTCTTTCTGCCTCAGTTTCCACTTCTGTGAAATGGGAATAATAATAGGCCCCATCCTCAGGGCTATTGGGAATATAATGAAAAAGTCCAACAGAGAGAAAGAATTGGTCTGGCTGAGGATGAGGGGATTCTGGTTGGGTCAGCACTACTGAGTTCTTTCTTTACTCTTATTGGTTTTATAGGAACCAAACAGACAAATTTAGGGGTTTTCTGGTAGCTAAGGAGACACCAGTTGGGTTCTGGAGTTGGCCAAGCCATGGGCCAGGTCTAACATATAGCAGTGGTTACTAATCTGTATTGCGTGTACCTCAGTTTTCACAACTGCCTCAGAAGGAGGTATTATATTATTTGTCATCCAAATGCTGTATCCAGAGAGAGTGGGGATCCCAGGTCAGAGTTCTCCCTGGGAACAAGTACAGAAAAAAACAGACTTGGAGATATGCCCTCCAGGGTAAAGTCCCTTTTTTCTTTCTATCCCTCTCTCTCTCTCTCTCTCTCTCTTTCCTTGTACTACTGGGAATTGAACCCAGGAGTGTTTTGTCACTGAGCTGCATAGTTTTTTTTTTTTTTTTTTTATTTTTTATGTTGAGACAGGGTCTTGCTAAATTGCCTAGGATGGCCTCAAACTTGCAGTCCTCCTGCCTCAGCCTCCAAATAACTGGGATTACACTCACTCCTGGATGAAGTTTCTTGTAGCCAAGTCTCCCTCAGCTGGGGTTGTTGGCAGTTTATCCACACCCTTTCATAGTACCTAGCATCCTTCAGGCACTGATAAGCATCCTCTACGCTGTCAGCAATTGAACTCAGGGCTCTTGCATGCTAAGCATGCATTATGCCTCTGAGTTAAACCCTCAGCCCCTCAATAAACATTTAAAAAAAAAACATTTATTTTTTAGTTGTAGGTGGACACAGTACCTTTATTTTATTTTTATGTAGTGCTGAGGATCAAACTCAGTGCTTCGCACATGCTAGACGAGTGCTCTACCTCTGAGCCACAACCCTAGCCCTCAATAAACATTTAAAAAAAAAAATATTTTAGTTGAAGATGGACACAATACCCTTTTTTCTATTTATTTATTTTTATGTGGTGCTGAGGATTGAACCCCGTGCCTCACAAGTGCTAGGAAGGGCTCTACACTGAGCCACAACCCCAGCCCTTGATAAACATCTTTGCTATCAGATTTAAGATAGCCGGTTACTGTGTACCTTTTTCGGTGCACCTCGATTCCCGCGGGCTGTTGCCCTGCCTGGCTAAGATTCCATATTGTGTGACCAGGTGGGTTTAGGGCCGTTGTCCCGGCCGAACCGCAGAGGTTCCCGACGCCGGGAGGGGGCGCTCTGAGGCCCTCAGTTTAGGCCCCTCCCGACTAGTCCGCTGATCGCGAGTCGGCCCTTAACAGTAGTACCCCGGCTAGACGCTTTAGTTCCCAAAGCTGGCCTTCCCCTGGGTCCATCTGCCGGCTAATGTTTAACCCGGCCACACTCCACCTTATCCACACTTGGGAAACGCGGGGCGGGGGGAGGTCACCTCCAAATAGCTGCCTTACATCTATTGCTCCCGGTAAACGGGCTTTCTTAAATCCCTTTCATTTATCTACCAACAGGTCATCAGCACCTACTGCGTGCCCAAATAGGTAATAAGCACCTACCTAGTATGTTTCTTAGCACACATATGAGCATCTATTATGAATGCACCCAACCAGTTATGAACACCTACTATGTGTCCGTTTGTTCACCATGTCATGAGCACCTATGATGTGCCCACCTGCACACCAGGTCAGGAGCATGTGCCAAGCGCTATGCCTGGTGCTATGCCCAAGTACTTCAGGCTCTGGCGGGCTACAGTGGCATCAAATGCACCAACGAAGGCAGAATTACAACCAGGATGCTGAATCTAAAGTGTCTTCTGGTCTATTCAGGGCCAATTGTGAAGCAGGGTTGGGCAGCAGCAGGAGGGCTGTTTTTGAACCACAATTTGTCACCAGACAAGACAGTGGCAATAAGATACTGGGCGGGGGCTCAGGATTAGCCCAAACAAAACACTCAAGAACACAAGTCTGAGGCAACGTGAGGGGACAGAAAACTGCTTAGTGGCTGGGCGCAGGCTTTCTCACTCGCGTGTGTCCACTCATGGTACTTACTAATAGAGAGGTCCAGGCGGGATCGAGGACCTCGCAGCGTTCAGAGGCTGGGGACCTAGGTTGTCCCAATTGCTGTCACCAAGACAGTGGAAGCCCGGATTGTTCTGATCCGGGCCTTGTCCTTATTCCACCGTGAAGTAAACTGAGGCCAAGGGGAAGGCAGGGACCCTCCACGTCGCATGGGCGCGACGGGCCGAGCAAAGCCTCGAACCCGGTTTGCGTCGTTTGGAATCGGGAGCGGCCTTTGCTTGTGCGTTCCTGGAACTGGGCTGGGCGGAGAAATCAGGGCCTGCGGAGAGGCCTGCCGCCTTCCCAGCTGCCCGAGGCCGCGGGGGGCCTGGCCAAGGTGACCCCGCAGGAGGCGGCAAGGGTCCCCGCCCCCTCGGCCGCTGAGATCTTCTCCATCTTCCCGGTCTTCGGGGCTTTTCCTCTGGGCCCACGCGCCCGCCCCACTCCCGGGCTTCCCCGAGGGCGGGATATCTCGGTCTCTCCCGCCCCCCCCCCCAGGCCACCTCCGGGCCGTGTCCTAGCGCTGCCCTCGGGCCGGGGGCGGGGCCGCGGGGGGGGCGAGCAGGACGAGCGTCTCGGCGGCGACCCGGGCTGCCTCCCGCCCTCCCGGTGCCCGCTCCCGCGGCCGCCCGCCCTTCCTCCCCTCCCCAGGCCCAGCCGGCCTCCCCCTCCCCCCTGCGCGCACGCCCCGCCTGGCAGCTGGCGCCCCGGGCCTGGGGCCGCCGCGGCGAGAGGGGTTTGCAGCGAGGGCGGGAGCGGGCGAGCCGGCGCGCAAGGGAGGGAGGCCGCCCCCCGCGCCCCTCCTCCTCGCCCTCCTCCGCGGCCGCCGGTCCCTCCTCCCGCCGCCTCCCTCCTCCCTCCTCCCTCCCTCTCTAAGACATCCCCGCACGGCCGGGCCGCCGCGGCCACCTTCCCTGCCCGAGCTGCAGATGTGGCGGAGCGGCCGGGCGCCGGGCGGCCGTGCCAGGGGAGCCCGCGCCCCGTGAGCCTCGCGCCCCGGCCCCCGCCCGCCCCGGCCTCTCCCCCGCTCGCCCCCCACCGCCCCCGACCGCCGGAGCCCGCAGCCGGGAGCACGACCGCCCCCGCCGCCGAGGTAGGAACCCCCGGGCGCGGCGCGGTGGGGACGGGACTGGGTGGGGAGCTCGCCTGCCGCGCAGGGGCTGCGGGGCCGGGGGGCCCGAGGGCCCCGAGGGTCGCCTCCCCCTCGCGCGTCTGCGCCTCGCCCCGGGCCATTGTGAGCCCTCGCCGAGGCCCCTGCATTCGCTTGCTCGCTGGCTCGCGCGCTCCCTCCCTCGCCGGCTCCCTGGCCCCGTCCCTCGGTCTTTCGGTCTTTCTCCTCCCTCCTTCCCTCCCTCGGTCCGGAGGCCGGGACGAGCCGTGGCCGGGCCCGGGGCCGGCGCAAACTTCAGCGGGGAAGTTGGGTGGACGCGGTGGGGGTGCGCTGCGAGGTGAGAGGTGGGCACCCGGACCCTGGGCTCGAAGTTGTCTGGGGCAGCAGGGCAGCCGCCCCTCCCCGTGGCTGCGTCCGAGCTGTTGCTAGTAAGGGGTTTGGAAGGTGCCTCCCTTGTCCCGGAAAGTCTCCCTTCTGCTGTCTATAGCACGCCCAGGAAGGGCCAGGATGGGGGCGTCCCTGAGGGTCAGCACTGAGAGCTGAAATCCTGTCTAGTGTTTGGTTCTCTTCTGCCCTCTGGGTGGAAGCAGGTGAGGGCCTGGCAGGGTGGGGAGGGCAGGGGTATCCAGAAGTACTAGAGGGGGTGGAAGAGGGGGGTGAGGCAGGTGCATCCCCGGGGAGGGAGATGCCTGTGCCGCCTGCTTCTTGCTAGCCCCCTGGGATGGGACTGGAATCCTGGCTGGCACCTGGAGGCTTTGGCACACTGCCCTGCTCAGCAGGGTACTCAGGCCACAGCAGTGCAGCATGCAGGCTGTCTGCCTGTCCAGGAGGGCCCGCCCAGCCCAGCCAGAGGGTGGCCCTGGGAGCAATGGTTACAGGGAGCTGCCTGGCCCTGCCCTGGGGCCTGGGAAGCTGGAAGGGATACTGGGAGGAGCCCTGGGCCCCCAGCCATCATAGACTGGGATCTTGGCTCTGGAGGGAAAGCTTGACACCAAGGGGGCAGCCAGGCCAGGAGGGGACTTGGCCAAAGCCTGGGCTCCTGTGGGTTTTGTCTGGTCTAGGGATACTGCCTGAGCCATGGTGCTTGAAGCTGGCACATTGAGTGGTAGGCAGCCATCCTGCTGTCCTGGCATCCTGGAGGGAAGGTGGGGCCCAGCTGGTGCTTGGGAAAGACAGCATAGAGACCCTGTGCTCCTCCAGGGCTTTCTGAAATCCCCAGCTCAGTGAATGGAAAGTGGCCCCTTCAGCCTGCCCACCCATCTACCCCTTCCCAGGCCCCATTCTGGTGCCACAGTACCACAGCTGTCCCAGCCCAGCCCGCACATCCCTCCCTGGTGACCTCGGAGCCCTCCCCCTCTGCTCCTCCTTCTCCCCTCTGGGCCCAGGCTGGGCCTCCCAGCTGGCCCTGACCCACACTGGGGGAGGGGCTGCACCTGGGGGGCCCTTCCCAGTACACTCCCCTTGAGGCACTCCAGCCCTGCCCAGCCCATTTCTCAACCCAACCCCAGCTCCTCTCAGCCCTGTCTGCAGCCAGCCAAGCAGGAGTCAGTGATGGCGTTAGAGCATTGGTTTTTTGGGTTGGGGACCCCTTGGAAGCAGCCCTGTTTTCCTTAGCCTTTTCCCCTCCCCCTCCTTTCCGGAGCTGCCATTAGTGCTGACCCCCTGACCCCCTATGCCTGCCCGCCCTTCCCTGTCTGTGACCTTTGACCTTTGGTGTTAAATCCCTCCAGCTGGGGCTCTTCAGCCCCTGAGTGACCCTGGCCCAGGCCCCCTGGGGGGCCTCTCCCTGCTCCTGGCTCTTAGTGCAGGGACACCTGCCAGTCCCTCCCTCACCAATAGGGAGGGGGTGCCCTGGGAAGCCAGACAGTGAGTCACCTCACTTCCAGGCATCACTGCTTTGGGGTCAGTGGCTTTTGGGGATTTGCTGGAGTCAAGCCAGGGCCTGTAGGGTGAATGGGAAAAGCCCCTGGCCTGGGAGTCTGATGTTCTGGGTTCAAGTCTTGGCTCTGTCACCAATTTGCGGGGGCCTTGGCCCAGGTTTCTCCTCACTCTGGGCCTCAGTTTCCTCATCTGTAGAACTGAGGGGTCAGACAAGGTGAGCTTCCTGAGCTCCAGAGTCCAAGAGAAAACTGGGCAGGCGGGTATGGGGAGAAAGGAAAGGATAAATCCAACAAAAGCCAACTCTCAATTATCCGTGGGTGGAGCCAGTATGAATAACTGGATGCCACAGACATCCCAAAACCTCATTTTAAACAATCGCGTGAACCGCTTCCCCCCCAAAGCTTTTGTTTCTGAAAAGCCCAGCTGTGAACGGGTAGCCATGGCCATTTCTTCTGCCTGGGCTCCCCTTGCAGGGAGTACAAGTTGGGGACCAGAGGGTAAACTGGCTGCTGGAAGACAAAGTTCTGCCAGGCCCCCTGCTTGGGCCCTGGAGTGGGACTAGACTCTACCTCTACCTCCCCAAGCTCCTTTCCATCTCCTTTCCTGGCTTGGCCTTGGCTCCAGGTTAGGTGGTCTTCTGGCCACCTAACCCTTCCAGGGTCTGCTCATTGGTATGGAAGAAAGAATGTTTGCCCCACAACATTTTTCCAAGTGCATTTCTACCTACCAGGCTGAATTTCCCACTGGGTGAGAAGGGCGGATGGAACCAGTGCTGGGCAGAGTTTGGGGCAATCCCAGCATGAGAGAGGGGGGGTAGCAGCTGTGGCTAGGGGACCAGATGTTGAGGCTGGGGCCTGCAGAACTCTTTGGGAGGTGTGCTGGGGAAGACTGCCACTCCTGGCTCGCCCCTGCAGCTCCACAGGCCTCCATAGGTTCTGCATCCTAGGGGAGGCCAAGGAGGCCCCTTACCCAAGTGGGAAATTTGGATTTTAAAGGAGAGGCCCTGAGTTGGATGGGATGAGTGGGGGGTGCTGCCTTTTCTGAGACTGTAGAAAGCTCCCCTGGATCCCTCCTCTACTCAGGTTATGGTTACTTTATCTTTCACAGATGACAGAGGCCAGAGGGGACACCTGAAGGTACTGGGGGATCCTCCCTTCACCCAAAAGTGCCCTTATCAGGGTTGAGGGCCCTCCCTGGTTGTCAGGGCTATGTGCTAAGCAACAAAGGAGCCTCTCCCGAGCTGGGCGCAGTGGTGCACGCCTGTAATCTTAGCTCCAGAGGCTGAGGCAGGGGGATCATGAGTTCAAAGCCAGTCTCAGCAATGATGAGGTGCTAAGCAACTCAGTGAGACTCTGTCTCCAAATAAAATACAAAATAGGGCTGGGGGTGTGGGGATGTGGTTGAGTGCCCCTCAGTTCCCAGTACCCTCCCTCCAAAAAAAGGAGGCTCTCCCAGATGATGAAGGGATCTCAGGAGCCAGCTGAAAAGATACAGCATTCCTCCCTCTGCCTCACTGCCTCCTCTCAGGGCTGTGAAGGGTCCCCAGAGATTGGCTGAGGTCTCAACTTTTACTGAGGATTCATCTTTTTTTTTTTTTTTTAACATTTATATTTTAGTTGTAGGTGGACACAATACCTTTAAATTTTTTTTATTTTAAAAAAATTTTTAGTTGTATATGGACTCAATGCCTTTATTTGTTTTTGTGTGGTGCTAGGATCGAACTCAGAGCCCCACACCTGCGAGGCAAGTGCTCCACCACTGAGCCACAACTCCAGCCCCCTTTATTTTATTTTTATGTGGTGCTGAGGATCGAACCTAGTATCTCACATATGCTAGGCGAGCACTCTTCCTCTGAGCCACAACCTTAGCCCGTGGGGGTTCATATTCTAGGGGACACCAGAGCCAGATCGAGGTGGGACATCATCTCTGCTCTAGCCTATTGCTAGCCCTGGGTGTAGGGACTATGGCCCTAGCAAGGCTCATGGGACATGGCTGCTGGCCCCTGGGTTTCTGGGGTGTCTGCCTAGGGTCCCACCTGGTAAATCCTAATTCAGATGTGCCAAGGGTGGGCACTGGATATTTTCAGCAAGCACCTCTAGTGCTGATAGGCCTCAGTCTAGCCACTGTTTCCATCCTAGGAACAGGAAAGAACTCACCGATGATGAGTGTAGAGTGGGGGAATCTTTCACAGGGGCATAGCCTAGGCAGACCCAGGTTTCTCTCCTCTTCCAACTTGGTCCTATAAGCCTCAGCTATCTCTCCAATTAATAAAGTTTCATCCTTAGGTTCCCAAGCAGGACAGGAGGTGGTATACTGTGTGGGGGGAACACTTTGTAAGGATCCCTGGAAAAACATCCAACCACCACAAAAGCCTTCCACTGGCCTGGTGAACTTTGCTGGGGCCTGCATCCCTCACCTGACGCTGCTGTGTTAACCTGGTGGAGAGACCCACATATCCCCAGTTAACAGAGGAAACTGAGGCTCAGGATGGAAAACTGCAATGGGCATGTGGGCCTGCTATGGCTAGGGATCCTGGCAGCTAGCTACCCTGCCTGTGAGTAGCAGGGCCCTTGCTCTGGAGGGAGGTTGACCAGGTGACTGTGTGCCCTGGTCCCCCAGCCTGTCCTTCCCCTGGAGGTGTCTCATCCCCAACCCCACAACTCAGCTCCAGGCCTCTCCACAAGAGATGGGAGGTCGGGGGCCTGGCCCTCCTCCCCCTTCCTGCTCTGGGGCTCAGGGACCCTCCAGGACAAGGCCTCCGGGAGCCTCCTTTACAGTTGGTCCCCAAGGAGTCCAGAAGTCCAACCTGGGAGGCCCTTCTGCAGTCCTGTGATTCCTCCCTCTAAGGGTCTCCAGGCTGGGCAGTCTCTGAGGCCGTAGCTCTGGGTCCATTCTCCCACCCCAGATGGAATGGAGGCTCTGGCTAGCTGGTGGCAGGTTGGGAGGGGCCTGAGAAGCATGAAGATGGAAAGTGATTCCAGTTGAGGGACTTCCCATCTGGCCCTGGTGGGGGGTTGGGTGTCTTCTAGTGCCCTGTGGGGGTGGCTATGTGGGCCTTCTATGTCCTGTGTCTTTGCTGCCCAAAGAAGCCAGGTGTAGTA